CGCGCCTCCCTGTGGCCCAGCGCCAGGCCGGGGATGCGCTACTGGCGCCCCGCTTCCGCGCACGGGCTGCAGGCCCAGCTGTGTGCGGAGCCTCTGGCACGGCCCACGAGGCGCGATACACCCAGCGGCCCCTCGATCCAATCACCCTCCCGGGTTTGGCACAGAAAGGCAAGACCGCATAGCTCCAGTGGAAATCTGTTCCTTCCATCCCTGCTTCGGTTTCCCGGGAAGGGCCAAAGAAGCTTTGCCCACGACCTTTCCTTCCAAAGGGCGCTGAGCGCGCAAGAGGCACCTTCTCACCGCCGAGCGTTTCTCCGGCGCTGTGGCTGTGGCTCGCATTCCCCCACCCTCAGAGTCCCGCCCGGAGACTCGTTCGTGGACCGTTTGTTGAATGCGTAAGCGAGCGTGACCCGGCACCAGGGAAGCGCAGGCGGGTGGCGCTGCGATTGGGCCAGTGCCACTGACCAAGCCCTGTCTCTCGGCGCAGCTGTTCAGAGGCGTAGCCCATCTCGCGCTGCCGAAGGCGAGAGCGGGCGGAAAAAGAGCCGCAGCCCGTCCACCGGGTGCACGATGGGCACCGTCTGCATGGCGGGGAAGGCGGGCGTGGCCAGTTCCCAGCGCGCCGTGCGCACCAGCTCCACCGCGAGCAGCTGCAGCACCGCCTGCGCCAGCTCCCGGCCGAGGCAGCTGCGCGCGCCGCCGCCGAACGGGATGTAGTGGAAGCGNCTCGGGGTCGAAGCGCTCGGGCGGGCTGCGGTCCAGCGCCGCCGTCTCGTGCGTGTCCCGGATGCTGTACATCACGCTCCAGCCCTTGGGGACCTGGTAGCCCTGCGGGGAGGTGAGACCGGCCTGACCACGAAGCACCGGGGAACCGGGCCCGAACCGACCCTGCGCCCCGCGCGTCGCACAGAATCCCCCAACCAGCGGGGACTTGCGTCTCACCGGGAAGCTAGGAGACCCCTGCGTCCCGGCTCAGCCCCTTCTCTCCTGAGCTGTGTGACCTTGGGCTAGCTTTTCAAACTCTCTGAGCCTCAGTTTCTTAATTGTAAAATAAGAACAAAAATGCCCGTTTTGTTGTGAGGCTAAAAGAAACAGGTCTGGCGTAGGTGATAGTGATCAGTAAATGTGACCTACTGCTCTTTATGTTTCAGTGTTTTGCTTTTGCTTTTCTCTTTTCTTCTGACATTAGATCAGGAGACCGAAATTGTAGCCCTGCACCCACCAGCTGCCTGAGCTGGAACAAGGCAAACGACAGGGACCCCCCATTTCTCTAGGGTCGTCAGCTCAATTACAAAGCTCTTCTTTGCACTGAACTGAAAACTGCCTCCGTCCTTCCCACCCATCAGCTGTACAATAACAACGTTGAGGTCTTGTAGCTACGTTTTAAGAAGGTGCACATGAGAATCAAACTGGGGAGTCCTTAAAATGTTGGAAAGCAGCTTTCATATTCCCTCTGCACACCTCCAGCCTTTGAAACTATTCTGCTTTTTGATATGTCTTCCTACCCCCCCCCCCC